CCCGCCGCGGCGCGAGCGCCGCCTGGCGGCCCGGGGGGCCGGCGCCAACGGCCCTCCCTGCCCCGCCCTCTAACGGTCGCCGCGGGCGCGTTACAAACGGCCGCGTTTCGCGCGTTTTCACCTTGTCGCCGTAAAATGCGTTTCAACCTGAGCGCGGCTTGGTCGCCGGCACACGGAGCCGGGAGGGCCTGTTCCTTGGCCCCGCTGCGCTGTGTGTGTGGTGTGTCCCTAGTCACGGGTTTGCTCGTGATGTTGGGATAGCATCACGCTGCTCCACGGCATGTTTTAGGCCAACATGGCATTCCACAATCGTGTATATATATAAAAATATATAGAACTTTATATCACTGAGGTAAATGAAAATCCCTACTCCCAGAGGAGTCCCCAGAGGGCAACCTTGCTCTCCGCTTGGGGAAGTGGATGTGTCTTAATGGCGCTGAGTGGACTTGAGAGGAGCTGGATAGGCCAATAACGTTTGTGCACTTCATGCTTTTTGTCCGAAAGTCTCTGTATACAGGCAGGGCACTGCAGCACAGGTGAAACATTTGCCAGCAAAAGCACAGAACTACCAAATTGTGCAAGAATCAAGTGGCATGGCCTTTAACCTGAGTGCTCGTGGATGCTGCTGCTGTAAGCAAAGACGGGGTGTTCTGAGGCATGAAGAATCCCTAGTAAACAGGCGAGCAGGGAATACAACCGCGGCAGCCAGGGGTAGGCAGGTTGCCATGCCTCCCCCTTGGAGAAATTCTTTGATGGTCTGCTCACCAGGTTTGTAAAGAGAAAATAAATTGCAGGTTGTGGAAGGACTTTAGAGTTGAACAGATCTTTGGGGGTTTGTGGGGTTTTTTATTGTTTTTACTATTATTATTCCAGGAGGAGGAAAAAAAAAAAACCCACCTTCCACATCAGGATGTGGCAGCTCTTGCTCCCAAAAGGGATTCCAAGAGCAGCTGTGTGCTGCATGTCACTTACTCCTAATGATTAATATGTATTTCATTTGCTTCTGCAGACACCTAGCGTAGCTCACTGAGAGGAGATAAATGGTACAAGTGGGTGATGATGTCCTGTGCTCCTGCAAGCTGAACTTTTTTCTTCACCAATCTAAGAGCTAGCATCCGATTTCTCCAGGTGCAGCCAGTGCCGGTAAGGAAACTGTCCCTGTAGGGTGTGGGAGGAAAAAACAAACAAACAAACAAAAAAAAAAAACACACACACACACACACACACACTTTGTGTAAAGGCTTGGAGACCAGAAGGGGAAGACTTTCCATTCATTCCAGATAACTGGCTATTACTGTACTGGCAAGAGGATTTCAAATTGATTTTTTTTTTCATGCTGCTTTTTGATTGTTTGTTTCTGTCTGCCCAATCCCAACTGTCAATATTGTGTAAAAAAAAAAAAAAAAAAAAAAAACCCTCCACAGATGGCACAGGCTCAAATTTGGTTGCTTCAGCAGGGACACCAAGAGCTCGTGTCTGTGATGAGTAACCTCCCCTTGGCTTCAGTGGCAGTAGGCATAGATACTAAACAAGGAGAAAACGAATCTGTCCTTCCACCCTCTTAAAACAGGCCAGCCAGGGAAGGAGTGACATTCAACACAGAGAAACAAGTTGTTGCTTTTGTCTGTACTGTGGCTAATCCCATGGGAACAGACAGCGTTCCCCAGGGCTCTTAGTCAGATGCTTTTGTAGATAATGCATGCATTTAACATCTGAAGTTAGAGATTTGGGATAGGGGCAGAGCATTGAGTGGTGAAATTTTCCTATAGCAAGTAGGTGTGTAAGAAAGGAGGGGAAAAAAAAAACCACAAATCTTTTTTTTTTTTTTTTTTTTTTTTTTTTTTTTTTTTCCATAATTATCTACATTTTTCTCG